AAATATTATTTTTAATATTTAACTACCAAAAAATAATTAAAGAAAATATTTTTAAGCCAAAACTTTTAAATTCACTTCTAAATAAGAGAATAGAAACAAATTTATTCTTAAAAAATATAAAAATAAATTACTCCTTTAAAGTGTGGAAAAAAACAGCCCTTAAAGGATAAAAATATCTTTTTTAGGAATCAAAAACCTTTTAAAAAATTGTTTGACTTAAATTCAACCTTTGCCTTATAAGATCATTTTAAAAACTGAAAAAAAAAAAACCATGAAAATAATTAAGGGTTTTTATATTATTTATCCTGGTCAAGTATGTATTTTTTCTGTTCTACAATAATAAATATTTTTTATTTTTATCTTAAAATTAAAAATTTTAAAATAATTTATATCTTTACTTATTTTACTTTTTAAAAAATAAAAAGAAAGAAATTCTTTTTATAATAAGATAAATAATGAAAATTCAGAGATAATTACAAGGTTTATAGGAAAAAAAAATTACCTCAAAATTTAAAAAATGATATTATTTTGGAATGAATTATAAATAAAAAAAATATCTATGATTCTGAGATAGATGAAGTATTAATTTGAATTTTATCAATTATATAATTAAAAGCATACATATATCATTAATGTTAAAAATAAAATTAATTTTTATATAAATTAATTATACATCTTTAACTAGTCTTCTCGACAAAGTCAATAATTGAATTTTTTTTTTTACTTGGGAAAATTATTGGGGATAGTAAGAGTAGACTTTCATGTTTTTTCGATTTGGGAGAATTATTGGAGATAGAGATAATAGTATATAGGAATAGATTTTAGCACTTTCATGTTCAAGTATATTTTCTCGAAGAGGATAATCTAGGCACGTTCCCATAAAGTGTATAGTCATTAGGTCATATAGCGTGGGAAAGCCAATAATTGAAACTTTAATTTGCTTTCTCATACTACTTTCTTTTGTGGGTCAATGATAGGTTACCGACAAAGGTATATTGCATGGGTCTCTTTTCTTTTCAAACCGCCCCAAATTTCTTCTGTTCACTAATTGAAGTCAATTGGAATGCATCACACCTGAGCTGCATAGAAAACCAACTTTTGAACTGAATTGCCCACAGGTTCTGCTCTTATCTAGTGTAGGATAGAACTATTTTTTTGGATAATGTCTGCCCTCATCAATTGTTTTATGGTATTCAGAACATGGGATAATAAAAAACATTGTCTCTGGACAAGAGGAAAAAGCGTCGGAGAAGAATTGATGATTCTAGAATGAGGTAACATAAGAATAATTATTTTATATTTTTTTCTTATATAATTTATATATGATTATTAAATAAATATATATAATATAATAAATTTTAAATTAATTATTTATTTATTTAAATAATATATAAAATTATATAAAAAATTATCTTTAAATTATTTTCCTATAACGATGCTTTCATCAGCACTGATGACCATTGTTTGTTGGAAGAAGGGGACATATCGCAGGATGTTGCTGTAATTTTATATAAACCCAAAAACAAGAAAAGGAAAATCCACGTGTTTTTATTTCAGTTTATGGAAACCGCCGCAATTCCAGCCTATTTCACACGGAGAAGTAGAGCACCGAGCAAAACGTCTAGAATATTAAAAATTATAATTTGACTGTTTGCTCTCTCAATTTTTAGAATTTAGATCATTTTTGTCTTTTAAAATTTTTTATGCCTTTTTTTAAATTTATTTAATTATAAAAAACATATTTTTTAATCTTTTATTCAATTAATTTATTAAACTTGTTTAAATATATATTTTTAACTCCTTAATTTATATTTTTTATTTTTTATTTTTTAACTTAAAATTTAAAAATTTAAAAAATATATTTAAATAAATTTAACAAATTAACTAAAAAACATTTTTTTCATAACTAAAAAGTAAATAAGTATAAAAAATGATTAAACCCCATTTTAGTCCCTCAACTATCGTACAGACCCTCGACTTAGTCCCTCAACTCAAAAAATCCCTGATTTGATCCCTATTATTTACCATTTTGACCCCGATTTAGTCCCTCCGTTAAAAATCTAGTGACATGTCCCGTTAATTAATTGGAGAATGATGACGTGTCCAAATAACTTGACATATCAGATGCATACCTGAAAAAAAAAAACAACACGACAAAAAAGAAAAAAAACAATGACATGGAAAAAAAAATATACCCAGAGCCTGGGTTCCATCGAGACCCAAGCCCTGGGTTCCAAGACGCCTGGGTTCGAAAGAACCCAGTAGGCGTTGGGTTGCAAGGGGAAAA